TTTGTACAGTCGTTCAACTTAGATGTAATCGATGCTATTTATTAGTAGGACCATGAATCGTGCTATTAATGTCTTGCTTTTCTCTTCCAATCCTTTTGTTGCATACTTATATATTGATTATGTATTGTCTGTTGTTTGGCTTGTGCATAGAGATGCTGTCGTATGTCGTGTACAAGGGTAAGGTTTCCGGAGTCTACGGCGACTGGGAGGAGTGTTGGAGACAGGTTCACTGTTTCAGCGGTAACAGTTACAAAGGGTACACCACTAGGACGGAGGCGGAATCTAGATACGCCCGCTATCTAGCAGGAGAGAAGAGGGAGCGTTGGAGGAACCAGGTGAAGACCAGTTTCATCGCGATGATGCTCATCGTGATGACCGCAACTCTCTTCTATGTGATGGTAGTTTAGATGGTCGATATCGACTTGTAATGTGAAGACAAACTCGCTACTCGCGGTCTCCGGGACTTGTAATGTTCTATCTTCGTTTGGTCTTTTGTATTCGGAGACTAATATGATGAATTGTATTAGGAGACTTACCTTCTATTGTATTCGATGAATCTGCTGTTGCTGTGTGGTGTTGTCTATATTCTGTCAAATAATATATTTTGTAACCTGTGAAAAAATCAGAAAAAAACAAAAACAAAACTAATATTAATACTAATGGCGTATCACCCCATAGTGCGCCATTAGTATACCAAAGGATACTAATCGCGCATCATAACAAAGTGCGCCATTAGTATGCCAAAGGATACTAATGGCGCATCACACCACAGTGCGCCATTAGTATGCCGAAGCACATGGGTATATATGGTCCCCTGGAAGACATACTAATGGCGCATGTTTCTCTATACTAATGGCGCACGGCATGGTGCGTCATTAGTATATAATACTAGTGGCGTGATACTAGTGGCGCACCAGTAGTGCGCCATTAGTAGGCAAAACTGGTGCGCCACTAGTAGGCCTTTTCCTAGTAGTGTTGGTAACTGTTTACGGGCCTTCAGGCTAAAACTAAAGCACGTATCCATGTGGGTATTTGTGCTTTACTTTCGGCCCTTTTGTCGTAATGATTGTATTTTCTTTAACAGAGTGAAATTTTGACAATATTTCTTGGTTATTTTCCGTGCTATAGGATGGACCCATATGAGGTTATCATTGGAACAAGCGGAAGCACGGACCATATGGTATCTGGGTACTGCCAATGGAAGGTGGTAGCATGGGAACACAAACAACCGGTTTGGATAACGGTCCAATAGTAGGCTATGTATGTAGGCACATATCTCTATTTTCATCGGTTGTACCCTGTAAGTTTCGTACTTTGATGCCGGAGATTGATACTTAAACTTTAATAAATTTAGGGTTGTGTGCGTCGTAATGATGTAGAGGCTAGGGTGATCCTACTTTCCTAGATAAAAATGCTAGCAATGTAGCTTCTGCTTCACAAGCTCCATTGATATCTATACTCTCTAATGTGATGAAGAGATGGAAAAGGACGCAGAATTATTTAACTGAAACAAATCGGTTGATAGAAAATTTGATTGAAAAAACGTATGCGGGAGAAAATTTGCAGGTTGCCTTTGGAGATGCCCTTAATGCCCGCGGCATCTTTTTCCTGCCTCCGGAACTGATCGTTGATGTTGCCGTGGCGTGGCACCGCCTGCCACGATGCATGGTGTTCGCCACCCACCCACCTCCCAACTCCCGCCACACAAAAGGAACTTGAGATGGTTAAGATTGATGGTTGAGCATTATTCAGTGACAGAAAAATATATATCATGTGAACATATGTGGCAATAGCAATCTTCTCTTGATCATGTACAGAAATGCTTAATTACATGGGTGCTTTTGTAATGAAATGATTTCCTTTTGGCATGTGAGCCTGGAGAAGTACCGGTGTATGGCACAACTTTTCATTACAAACTAACTATCATAATGATAGTAGATGCTCTATGAAAAGTGGTCATCTGTATGCTACTAGTTCTTCCATAATTTTACTAGTGGTCACAAGCTTTTATAGTACACATCCACAAAGTGGGCTCTATGATCGTGTTTAAATACACTTTTTGGGAATAACAACAAAAGTTTGAATATATTAACTCAAGATAGAGTTCGAGAAGCACTGCACTATTTAAAATAAGGCACAACTTATCTTTTGCAGAATATTACTCCAGCCTTTCGTAGTTTGGCAGATGTGATCCCTACCCAAAATTCGACCCAATTCGTGTTGCATCGAATATGCAAAAGAAATCTCCATCATGGAAAATCCAATTGTTTAATCTCCACAGCAGACGATCTTATTTACATATGATTGCCCATGAAGATCATGGGCGAGCGCAAACTAGAAATTAACCACTTGATACTGCATAACAGATGGCATCAATCTCAAATAGTTAGAGGACTTTCGGTGGACAATCACCTTCATACTGAGATCTAATCAATTTTTGGGTGCTCATGGATGCCCATCCTGGGTGGCACCTTGCAATTTGTCCCCAATCCAATTCTGGGTACCTCTTTTCTACCAACTATGTACACTCCCGTTGGTCTATTTATGTTTAAGCATACATCGTGGTGTGGCTGAACAATCATTTCGCCATCTCCAATTAGAAGAGGAGGGAGAGTAGCAGATGCCACCAGACATGTAGGAGAATGAAGGTAGTGGCATATGGAAAACAGCAGCAAAGGACATGTTATTATCCATTTGTTTTTCTATATATACCTAGTAATGCACTCCCCTACGCCAATGTGCCAGATCGTGTGCTTTCTTTCATATTTCCTGGTAAGTGTCTCGTATGTTTTCTGATGTCAAAATTGTTTATTTCTTGGAGTTGATGACGTCATTTCCCCCACGGGCATTAATATTGGAAAAATAAAGTGTTAATTAAACGAAATGGGAGGATTGGACGACATGGTATGCTTGGCATTTTTCAAATTGAATTGTTAAGTAAACTAAAAATAAGGCCTGACCCTGACCATCAGAGCGAATTATCTTAGAAACTCTGATGACACTAGTCATGGGCCAGGCCAATGGTTTTCCATGAAAGAGCATGTTCAATTTTTTGAACAAAGTTTAGACAGTTAAACTTTCGGTCTCGACGCATGACCTAGTCTAATGAACCAAAACAATTCCAATGAAAAACACAATAATGCATGAGCCAGAGCACCAGAGCAATGAACACCGTAGATGGGCCACACAGTCCATTACACATTAGTGTATTGTCTGTGGTTGCTCGATTGCTTTGGCAATGGAAATTTGGTAGCATCTTCAGGATCTGGACTGTCCTTGGGTGCCCTCAAAATTCTTGCCAAAGAATCCATGTTCACAATGAACCTCGTTAGTCTATCTACATGGCGTGTATTTCGCAGAAGGACAACACATGCTACGACTAAATTATTTTTGTCTTGAACACTTGTGTTCCGGCAAATTATTGGGTACCATGGACATGGATCTGACAGAGCATCGGCAACATTCAGTCTCTCCCCGTCACCGACGCAATAGCTAACCACAATAGCCGACTAGCCAAGCATTATTGCCCCGAACTCAAACTGTCAAATAGTCCGGGGAATCAGGCGTAAGTTCATTGATGCTATGTGCAGCGGCACAACCCAGCACGACTCGTTGCGATCAATCTGTCACAGTCTCACCTCCTTGACATATATTAGTTCAAAATCATATTCGACTGTACTAATAGTATAGCCTTATATTTTGTTTGTATACGGATGACTCGTAAGGTAGACTCCTTATGTACCATATATTTACCTCCAAAACTTACTTGTGTTCTTGTGCAATTTCGGCATGGTGTTTGATATTCGTTTCAAAATCAAAAGAGAATCTTCTGCAAAATTATCCTTTTCTTAGTGTCACACTACAGACAGAGACACTCATACATACCCACATACACTCAGAACTATGAATGCATGCATGTGCACCTACTCCTATTTAACAAAGTTTACAAATATCCTAGTTTTATTAATAAAGTTAGCAATTTTTCCACATAGGGGACATGGGCTGATCCAGCACAGGTCATGGGTGTACATATGTACACCCAAAATGTGACACAAAATGCACGTACATGCTTCAAAGAGTACACAGCATCCCACCGGTGGCCAACGGACCAATGGACCACTTGGCAGTAGCCCTGGTGCACAGTGGCGGAGCTACAAGGGATTTCTTGGGCGGGCCAGGCCAAAGGCAGCCCATTTTTTTTACCCTTTTTTAGCCCAGTTTACCCTTATACTTTAGGGTTTTGAGATCATGTTGGGCGGGCCATGGCCATTGTTTTCTTCCTACATAGCTCCGCCAGTGCTGGTGCATATGTCGCCTTCACCCACGAGGGACGACTCAGCTCAGCTTCAGTCCAAATTCACCAGAGTTGGACTAGCATTCCTAGTGCATGCGCCGTCCAAGCAGGATCTAACTTCCTGGTGCCTCCGACTCCTACGTCTAGAGTCCATGAAAGAAATTCCATCCCATTATTTTCGGCAGCTGGTCTATTAATTTCTTCTAGTTGACCGATTGTAAAGATAAAAATTGGTAAAGATACGAAAGTCCCGGTGTGCTTCAGAATATGGGTGATGCCAATGCATTCTTGCTGATACAAGAGTGTAGATTTTAGGGAAACACGATAAACGGGTCTCCTTTTATTGATGGTGGATATAGCTATTGGCATGAGGTCTCAGATATCAATTACACTTATCATGGCACCAGACTTGTTGTTCTCATGACCTGGCGGTTGCTGAACCCATGTGGCATAGATACTACAAGCATAAAGATAAACACACTGTGTGAGATCGAGTCATTAATTTAATCATACAGTACCGATCTCTTTTATAATATGAAGGCTGCTATAGTACATGACAAACTTGTGCCCATTGCCTGCTAAACCACCGCAGGGTACAGTCAAGCTGAATATAGATGCATCATTTGAGTATGAAGGGAGTACTGCTTCCATTGGCACGGTCTTGAGAGATGATGCTGGCGATTTTATTGCAGCTGAGGTGTCCTATATGGGTAAAACAATTGATGCATATACAGCCGAAGCTATGGCTATGAAGAAGGGTCTGCAACTTGCAGATTCTCTGGGTATTCATAAACTGCTAGTTCACACAGATTGTGCAGAATTGGTCAAGGAGATTAATCAAGGAGCAGTTAATTCAGTAGCGGCCCCTATTTTTAATGATTGCTTTGAGATTTGTAATAATTTTGGCCATGTTAGTTTTGAGCATTGTGCGCGTGATTCGAATCGCGTGGCTCATGAGCTGGCTAGAAGGGCTAGGGTTGATCCTCCGGGTGTGTGGACGGACAATCCTCCCTCTTTTATCCGTAGCCTTATTTTGGATGATTTGTCGTTATTGGAGATGAAATAAAACTAGCCATGATGGCATTTCCTCAAAAAAAAACTTGTGCCCATTGCCTGAACGATCCTACGTGGCTGCTCCACAGCTAGCGTGCACACACGAGGCAACTGAGGACTCTGTTCACATGAAGTCCAAGCCCAAGCGTCGGGTGCAGATCGTGCAGAAAATATCGTGCGTGAATCAATTTCGTTATGACATTCTTCAACGAGAGCAAGACTACATTAGCGCAGTTTTGAGATCAAATTCATTAAATACCCAGTTCAGGAGAGCACTAATCGGGGATAAATGAACTACAGGGTGCGTTTAGTCCGAAGGTTGCTATGTATCATCCTAACAAATGTGCCAGACGCATTTCATTGTAAGTTGACACCTTCTGGGGTTTTCTTTGTGAAATTATGTAGATAGATTTCTTGTTGCCATCTAGCCCTGGCCCTAGCTCTCTCCTCTCGCTCACTGATCTCTCTCTCTCTCCGGCCGTGGCACGAACCAACAGAGACGAGGGAAGAGGAGGAAGAAGAGATGCACACATGGGACACGGCGAGGTTTTTCCCGGCGCACGAACGCCACTGCCTTGAGCTCGAACTCAACAACCCACACCGTTACAACGACCACCGTCGCGGCTTTATACCCGGAGCCAGCGACTGGGCACGCACCCACGCTCCCTCCCCATTCGCGCCCGCCCGATCAGCACGCCATGGCCGGCTCGCACGACCCGCTCATAGGCGCCTGGACTCGCAACAGATCATCCACGGCCGCAGCCCTACACGGTGGACTTAGGTGCACACACACCTTCGCGACACACGCGCACACACGCCCTGAACGGACCGCACCCAGCGCACTCGACGCCGGTCGCCAGCGCATGGACATGGCTTATTGCCAACATTCACTCCCTAACACATGACATCGCCGCGCGGCCTGCCGACAGAAGCCCTGACTCACCGTCGTCGTCTTGTCCGCCCGACGACACCGCGCACCTCCGCACCCGCTGCGACGTGCCGTGTGCTCGCCGTCGCCGGAGTTGATACAGCTCGCGTAGTTGCCGTCGTCACGGCCGTGACCCAGTCCGCGGACCCGACCATGTCATGAGCCATTACCAAATCTTGTGGACTGATAGACCGAGTTATTTCCTGGAAAAGCATCGGGATGGACATGCAATAAACGTAACCTACCATTTGTTGAATTTGCTAGGTTAGACAAAACTAGCCAAAATCATCTCGAATGACCTCTAAACAGCCCTAATATGAATCGTACTAGACCTAGTTTCAGACAATGATCATGCCTCATGACCATAGGCGACCACAAAGGTACTCCGTTGTGACTCAACTGTTGTGTTAGAATAAATCCGAGGCCACCGTAGATCGTCCAAGGACGAAGCAATCCACTAGGCACGACACCAACATTTGTTAACGAGATTCACCCATATGGTTATATCCCCGGGGCCTGACTACGGGCGCTCCTCCCCGTGACACCGCCACAATACCGCATACCGGCCATCCGGGCACCGGCACACGCAGCCGGCTCCTCCTCGTGCGCCTGTGCTATTATGTTGGCATAGATTACATCGTCTGTCTAGCCCCGCTATATATGAGAGGCCTAGGATACAAGTGTCCTACATGGACACGACTCCATATCCTGTAAACACAATACAACTACAAGTCCAATTGTAACCTACGTTGTACACAATATTCGACACAACTCCAACAAACTCCACCTTGGCGAATATTCTCCACCATCTTGAATTTGTTAATGCGTCAAACTTTCATGTACATCAGACTTGAACTTATCCCATGAGTACCGCTGCTACTCCAAAGACTCCATGTGACTCCACCTGCAACTTGTAGTCCCTCTTTTTCTTGACCACAGTCAATGCTCGAGCGAAATTAAGTTCCCCTTACTCCAATTTGTGCTCCCAACTTCCAGAGTACCCGTCCAATGACATCACACACCGATCACTGACCTGCGTGAAAATGAACAACTCACATGTTGGGTGTCACACATAAGAGTTACCTGAACTCAACATCCCCGCTCATTTTTTGACCGCTTGTCTCAAACTTGAATGAATTTCACCATTGCTTGGGTCATCCCGAGTCAAATTCGTTGTCTCACCACATGTATGACCACCAGAGCCCTGGTCCGTCTCCATGTCCCCTGCATACTGCACGCCTCGCCGTTATTAGCACGTCGAGCCACCGCTGTCCTGGTCGAGTCCCATGGGTCGCAAAACCACACCACTCAACCCCCACTGCAGAGTACCACCGATCATCACCGACCGATGACGAGTTTCACACTTCCATCAGACCACTGGGCTTCAGTCTGAACTACGTGTCACTCGCTTTTTTCCACTGAATAGGCTTCGACTGTCTGTCGACTTACGCCGTAGCCCCTCAACCAGCACTGAGTGAAGTCTTCCAGACTCCAGCTCCACCTTCAATATGATTCCATGGTAGATGATCAACTGTAACCTACCCTGTACACGACTCCATATCCTGTAAACACAATACAACTACAAGTCCAACTGTAACCTATCTTGTACACAATATTCGACACAACTCCAACACGTTGGGTGGACAATTATCCCCCTCCGCACCCATGACCATGATTTTTTTCAAAAATTTCAAGTGAAAGACCAGATTGTTAGGCATATACTCCCTCCGTTCCAAAATAGATGACCCAACTTTGTACTAACTTTGTACAAAGTTAGTACAAAGTTTCAAGGTCCACTACTACAGAATAGTCTATCTGTGGTGATGCCTCACATGGATGACTAAAACATTTGTGATAAGACTCAGCATAAAAGGAGATGTTTCATCTGTAAGTTTTGTACATCCATTTGTGGAAGATACTTCTTCCATCTCAATCCAAATGGCATTCTTATTTTCTAGGATTCAACTTTGAACATCAATTATAGATATAAATAATATCAGAGTAATGTGCATTATTGAAATATGTGGTTTATGTGCCACGAAAATTTCACCGTTGAATTTGTACTTGTAAAAATTAAGGGTATAAGTTTTATAGCACATAATATATCTTTAATTCGTCAAACTGATGGTCAGGGTATGGGGTGAAGGTGGCCCCAGGATACCTGTCATAGAGCTAGTAGCCCCGTGGTAGGATAAAATATTCGGTAGAACAACGACAGAGGGACCATAGCGGGTGACGAGAGCACATGTGGGCAGAAAAAAGGAAAAGAGAGGACCCCACCATCTCCGGCCACTGGTCTCCGCCATCAGACGGAGTCCTTGAGCAGCGGCAAGGGAATTGGGTTGCAGTAGAGGGCATCTTTTGGGTTGTTGTGGGGACAACTCCAGAGTCAACTACCACATGCTTTGGAGTATGTCTTAGATATGTTGTTTCCACTCTGCCACATGCTTTTATGTATAGTTTAGAAACAGAGACGTACTTCCCCTCAAAGGGAAGGAACTTCGGTAACACATCCTCGTCTCCATTTGGTTATCTCTCACATTTACTTGTGCAAGCTATATTGTGTTATATCCTTTGCTTTCTTGTGTGCTTATTGTTGTTGCATCATATAGGTTGCTCACCTAGTTGCATATCTAGACAACCTACTTTGATGCAAAGTTTAATTTGGTAAAGAAAAGCTAAAATTTGTTAGTTGCCTATTCACCCCCCCCCCACTAGTCAACTATATCGATCCTTTCAGAGATGGGTATGAGACCCACAATATGAGTTGTTCAGAGTGGTAACCTATTCTTTGTGACCAGAGATCCCGTGAATTAGATGTGGAAGACAAGTTGTTGGTCAATTGAGAGGAGAGTATCCTTATTGTTAACAATACCACTCCATGAAGATGCAATACTCTCCTAAATCTGCATGTCAGGTTGATGTATATCTTAATGTGTTCTAAGTGGCTCATTGAAGCAGAGATGTTGTCCTGCAGAACATCTTTTGAAGAACACACCTATATGAGTCTGATTGTTAAAACATCGCAATCTGTGAGAGTAGGGTTCTCTCTAGTAAACTCATGAAAGGTCTCGGAGTATGACGCATAAGCTCCACTCGCGGGGAAGACTCGCGGTAGCCCAGTATCGGTCAAGACTTTGTGTGAAGCTAGATTCGCAGAAAACTTGCAGTTCAAGGCCCAGTTCACTGTTCAAGCTGCTTAATAGTGTAGCATAGAGTTCTAGGTGGAAGTTCAACTTAACAGTCTCCACTGCAGTACCGGTATATAAAACAGTGTTTTGGAACCAAAGGCAAATTTTGTGTGCCTCTGGGATCTGGTGGGGGGTTGCTGAAATTTTGTCTATTTTGGGCCTAGCCCAATAGCAGTTTCAGAAATTCATAATAAATCCTAGAGGTCCACGCAGCCCATTCGTGCAAGGCAAGAGATGGAACTAAAGTTTAGTCCCACATTGCTAGTTTAGAGGGAGTTGGACCTCTTTATAAGGGATTTTTTTTCCCACATGTATGAGGATGAGAACAAGAGGGACATCCACGCGCACTCCTCCTCCGCCGCCCGCCTCGCCATGCCACGCCTCATCATGACGTGTTGTGCCGCGGCGCGTCGCGGATTGCGGGAATGAGCCGAGTCGATGTCTAAATTTTTGCCACACACTACGGGTATACGAAAGGTCACGCTGGAGCTGAAACGTTTTTCTATAGTGGACACTGAATCCGAACGGCTTGCCTCTTTGGCTGAAGTCTGTTCGTTTCGTCTTCCTCGTTCCCTTCAGCTCCTGGTGCAGCCTCTCGCCTCCTTTAGTTGCGCCTATAAAAGGGAGGTCGCTCCTCTCAGAGAGACGCACCAGAACTACTTCTTCCTCTCGTCATCGGTTCCTAAACACTGCGCTGCTACTATGATCTTCCTCATCCTAGCTTGCGACGTGCACCGTAGGTCGGGACAGTAGGCTTCCAAAACCGCACCTCTTTGAGTCATGTACGGGAGAAGGGTGATAAGGTTTTCGGGGAGCGCTCTGCACGACTACTGACCTGTTCATCACGGACACCGATGACCACTTCCCCAGCGACGACTTCTTCCACGACGTCGA